ACCAGATGCCAAAGTCAAGGACAACTAAATAGTTTGCAATTTAGAAGAGTAGTAAATGAAAAGTCAGAATGCTGTTTATGGATTTTCAGTTTTTTTGGGAGGACTTTTGGATTTCCGCAAAATGATCGGATTGCGAGACGGAAAACGATTCTGAAAAAGGGAAGACGAGAGCTCCGAGACGTTCTACACACGGTTAATTATGTTAGATGCACAACACGGTCACTAGTATTCACGGCCTTTTAGACCGCTACTAGTAAAGACTGATGAAAAGGAAAACGACAGAAGCGAAGTGTGGGAAATCCCTCGCCTGAGGACACAATGACACACGCGGCTGTATTGATAAAAAAAGAGGAGGCAAAAAATAAAAAGCGGACGGAAGTCTACGAGCCCTAGGAAGCAACAGAGATAAATGCCACTGCTGCCGCTGTCATCAAAGGAATACGCAAGCGGGGAGAAGGGACATACCACGATCACTGTAGCGCTGTTTGTGCTCGTGATACTTTTGGGTTACAAGACGCAGATAGCCCTGTAGGTTGCCAGTACAGGTGGCTGAGTCCAGAAGCCACAAGAGGCCCGTGGAGGCGTCCGCCTGACTCAGTGCAGGTCCTGCAGGCGACTCCGGTGACAGAGAACGGCGCACAAACTCGTTCGCGAAGGAACCCTGTCCGGCTTCGAGACCCGGTTGACCGCCACCCGCCAAATTGGCAGCTGCCATAGCGACAGAGACGGTGGATGGCTGAAATCGGGAAAACAAATAAAAGGACATTGTAGAATACAGACTCGGAACGCGAAAATGGGATGGTGTCAGGAAAGACAGAGGTGAAGCTCAGATAGAGCAAGAATTCTACGAGGACAACGCTGCCCACAAAAAAGCTATTTAAAAAACAATGTTTTTGATGTAGTGAATAAACATCAAGCGACAATAATAGTGAAATGACACTAGACGTAGGTAGTCTACTGGTATACTGATATGAATTTGGCGAGCGGTGAAAAAAAAACGGGTTAGGAAAGGCACGCTATCGAAAGTAGGGGTCAAAGCAGCAGTTTGGAGGACACCATCCGAAGGCTCTGTCAAAGTAAATGCATCAGTAGTCGAAAGGCCGAGCTAAAGGGCAAAATACCAGTAACAAACAACTGGCACACCAGGCATTCCAATGTTCGGACATTTATAGTCTTTCACACAGGCCTATTCCACAAAATGCGTCTTTGCATGCCAATTCCACCTCCTAGGAGATTTAGTAAACAGAAATGATTAAAAAGAAGACAAGACGAGCGCAAACATTGGTGTACAAAGCAAAATAGCGTTGGCAAGTTCGAAAAGGAAATACCCAGCCCTTCGCCAACTCCCGGGCACGTATATTTCTTACAGCTTGTGAGCAGAAATGAAACATGGGGAACCTTGCAGTGCAGAGTTTGCAAACTAGGCAAAATAATAATGCAATAGTGCACGTAAATATATCTGTCTACACCCATCCAACAGTGAGGGCCTGGCTCAATTCGGATAACATTTAGCTCAAGGATCACCGTGCCTGAGTCCCACTTTTACGTCATTCCGGGCGAAAATGAAAAAAACAGAAGCTGACCTCCAGGGACCACTGTCAGGTCAATAATATTAGACATGGAAACGTCCTTATTTCCCCCATTAAATACTCAGACCAAGAAAATGGGGCAAAGACGAATGTTATAGGCATCTCCTATCACATAACCTCTATATAAGCTTCAAAAAGACACTAGAGCTTGCCCTAGAGGTTTGCTACGACAAACTTCAGTCGGTCTGTTAAACCAAAGTGAGCCATAGCCGATGTAATTAATAGTAAGAAAAATAACCATAGAAGAACACACAGACTCAGCATATGTCTTTCAAATGAGCCTACCTGTAGTCATCAGTATGGACCAGATTTACCAAAATTCCTATACAAATGGCATTTTTCCCACTGCTTGTGAAATATAATTATTTTTAGTATTTTTTGACAGACACAAACAGTTTAGGTGATGCAAATGCTGGGAAGGCAAGATGACTCAAATTTTAAGAAATCAAATCTCTTGGTAGAAACCAGGTAGCTGTAATGGTCAGGGTGGTGGTTGCACCGGAGTCATGATCCACCCGTGGCAAAATTGAGTCTCGCTGAAGGCCTGTATTTGACCCAGTTAAATCTAAGTATAATGATAGGAGAGTATGGACAAAAAAACAACTTTTTTACTCATTCTGTGGCAAATGACTTCAGCTCCAAAACGCACATTCTAAAAAGTGACGCCAGTAGTTTCGAAATGACTTCTTCATCATTTTAACCTGTTACTATGGTTCCCAAGCTACCTATTAATTCTGTCAGAAATTAACATATTTTTTGCTGTCTCACGATGAAGCGTGCATTTATTCGCACATGGCTATCGGCATAGGATAAGCCGCATACTAACGAATAATCCTTCGCGTGTCGTGAAAACTTGATATGCTTAACACATTTGAAACCGAAATATAAATTAATTTCAGGTACATAGTTTGACGATGAGGAATTTTTAAAGGAATATGTAAAAGAAGTGAACTTTGACGCATCTACTCAAAGAGTTAAAAAAGTAAAGAAAAAAATGCAGAAACTTCCAACCATGTGAAGGACATTTCCACCGTCGAGTTCAATTATCCCCATCACGTGCTTTACAATAGACGGAAAGCAGCAATTAGATTATAGTGATAGTAACCTTATGACGCAACTAATGCGCCCTTTCCCCCATCTGGGCCCGGTGTCACGACCTAGCCAAAAATACCGGCGGGGGGAGAGGGTTCATGTGGTT